AGAAAAAAATCGCGACGTTCGTTTAATAATCTACAAACAATTTCCTACATATAGGAGATAGAAATATCGAAGTTCGATCTGTCAAAGAATCCGTCGAGAACGCGAAAAGCTTCCTGTATTCTCGCGTTCCTTTAAAGGGACGGAAATAAAATAACGAAGAGAAGGAAGTACGAGATTCTTATTAAAGGATAAACCAGCTTGCCGAATGGCCGAAGGATTTGCGGTCAAAGGAACATACGAACGTGTGCGAACACTTCGCTTTCCCTCCTCTCTTCTCTATAGAGGAGAGCATTTATCCTGCGCAAGCGATCAAGAAATTTTACCGGCCTTTATATCGCGTTTTTACCATTGCGATCTTTTCGCACACTTGTTATTCGCTCCCATAACCGTCCTTACCAAAGAACGGTGCGCGCTATCGGCTCGAAAGGAAATCGATTGTGCCGATATTAAGAGGCTCAACGATATGTCGGACGCGTGCACGGACCAAAGAGAGTAAACGGGCTGATGACAAACAAAATTCAATTCATTATAAACGCACTTCGCTGAAAGCTGTTTTCCTAGAAAGACGGCAAAGTACTGTAATGACTAAAAAAGGAATATATTTTTATGAAGAGAGAGCGAGAGGGGGAAAGAGAAATAGAGAGAAAAAAAGCGAGAGAGAAAGAGAGCAAACGCGCTGGCTGGACTAACGATCAACCCATTAAGCGACGAATTAAACCTCGTTTGCTCTTGAGAGAGACTCGTTTACAACCAACTTGATTTTTCCACGAGTGCTTTGAGCGCCAGTACGAGTCGGCTGAAAGTTTATTTCGAGCTCGGCCATTTACTTCTGTGCTTGCTCGCGACTTAATAATCTGTGCAAATTTAATGTCAAACAGGTTGGCGCAATGCAATAAGCCGTATTCATGAAAAATTTGATGTCGCGCCGTTCAGTCAATATCGAATGTATGTATACTGTTGAATGAACATATTTATATACAAATAAGATATTTCGCCGCTATTACAAAGCTCAGTATTATAAGCTTCGCGAATCCGTCTCTCTCTCTCTCTCTCTCTCTCTCTCTCTCTCTCTCACACACACACACACACGCGCGCGCGTTTGTTTCTGCACATTAACAAACTATATCATTTGAAAAAAGTATTTATGAAGATTATATCTTTAATAGATGTCTTTAATAGATAGGCAGATTATTCGCAATGACACACGAATTTTGTCACGTTACACGGTCAGACAAGTGTTCAATTCACACTCTGACGAAACAATAATTTTCCCTCGCTATTTACTACATTACTATACGTATGAAATTTCATTTAACCAATTATGCCGGCTGTTGCGGTCTCGCGTTACCTCGCGTTCGGGTGTGCCATTAGAAGCAATACGCAATAAAGATCGAAACCATCCAGATTGTTGTAATCCGCGTATAATGACGACGATATCGCTACCAGGGTGGAATGATAATAGAACCCCGAAAGCCCATTATCTCTGTTCCACGAGAAGCCATTATTCGCCAGCTTCCATTCCCGTTGATCTTTTCCACTGTTTCCTGTGATAATCGGAGGTAACTGGTCGGGGCTTAACCGACCGATATAAAGTGACCCGACATTTTGAACGCTGCTTGGATCGCCGTAATGTTACACGCGAATTTCGCACGTAAACAACAGATTCCGGGTTATATAACGTCATTCTATGCGAGAGAAATATCGTGCAATTCGGACGCCTGAGACTCGGTTTCATTTCGCCGACACTCGGTAAGGATCGGGAAGATCCTTATCGCTAATTTTTATTTGCTGCGAACGCTGAATATATATATATATATATATATATATATATATATATATATATATATATATA